AGTAGGAGGAGGAGGACAGTGAGTCGGTGATAAGGATAACAAAGAGACAAAGACAGAGAAGAGGGAAAGAAAAGCAGGAGGAGGAGGAGGAGGAGGAGGGGAAATTATCCCTGAATGAAGTTTGAAGCACAGTCATGACAGGATGTCCATGGAGAAGTATTTCACTGACTGCCAGGGTGTTCCATGCCATTTATTGCATCCATCCATTAAATTCCATTTCATTTACTAATTTAATAATTTTTTAATTTCTATTTCATTCTCCAACCTGTCAACTTAATCCAGGACCTGTTGTTTGTTGGGCATCGGAATGCCTATTACCTTTCCTTCTTTTTTTCTTTTTTTTTTTCTTTTTTTTTTCCCCCTTGGATTATCCACAGTGGATAAGATTTCTTCCTGTGGATAAGATATCCTAAGATGGGCAAGTTTTCCTAAATCACAAGTACTGTGGGCGCTTCGTTGGCGACGGATAGACGACAGATCTTGACGGCCAGCCAGCACGGAATAGACAGCCTATTGAGCACCTGCCTCAGACTGCAGCAGCATCTGCATACCCTCTTGCTCCCACTCAGTCATCCAAGCTCGCTTTGCGCCGGCTAGAGGGGCAAGGACCCCTGTATTTCTCAGTCCATCACATGCACAGACACCGCGGTCTGCTGAAACGAGGAGAGAATTCGAGCGGCTTAGAATCTTCGAATTATTCGGCGGCGTCAACATCTTGAATTTCGCTACATCAATAAACCACAAAGACATCCGTTAAAACATAAAATTGGAACGATAAAGAGAAGACTAGAATGGCGGCAGCGCGAGGATGACACACATAAATCAAGAAATGGCAATTTTTTTTTATAAAAAAACTTAAAAAGCTAAAAAAAAAAAAAGAGGATCAAAGAAGGCAGAAATGGGGGATTTACAGGAAACGTTGCACACCGTCAACCCCACCTCGACTAATGTCAGATGTCAGATGTCAGAGTCAGCATGCCTGAACTAGTCAGATGTCATATGTCAGAGTCAGCATGCCTGAACTAGTCAGATGCCAGATGTCAGAGTCACCATGCCTGAACTAGTCAGATGTCAGATGTCAGATGTCAGCCTGACTGAACTAGTCAGATGTCAGATGGAGGAAACATTGCCTGACAGCTGCAAGTCAGCATGCCTGAACACTAATGTAGGATGTGAGAGTCAGGATGGCTGACAGCTGCAGGTCCACAAGTGGCATATGAGAAGACGAAGACAAGAGGAGGAAAAAAAAGAAGTTACAAAAAAAAAAAAAAAAAAAAAAAAAAAAAAAAAAAAAAA